AGAAGTACGTTAATCAAGTCTATATTCTATGTTATAGTACTACTACGAAGGAGCACATGATGAAAAAAAGAAGTAACTGAACAAAGTTATAGTAATAATTCACTTTAATTAAACATTATGTTTATCCATGCATAAATGGGAGTTTAATTATGAATCATGTAATATTACCTAAGCTAATTCTAACTTAAAACAGAATTGGCAAGGAAATACATGGATTTAAAATTCTATACTTTGGAAATAGCGGAAGAAATTGTGTTTTCACTTTAGTGGCGTATAGTAAAGTTTAGATGACACTTCGTTTTTTCTTGCTAAAACACATTGAAGTGGTCAATTTGTTGTTAAATAATAAGATTCTACACGTGAATAATTTGATTGATTTTCCATAAGTTTTCTGACATTTCCAAGGCTAATTAATAATTTTAAATCTGTAATTTTTCTTGTATGTTTCATAAGTCATTGTTAGCTGGTGATTTCTTGTCTCAACAATTACCCTATCCCTCTCTATAAAATGTGAGAGAGTTAAAAGACTCACTTTGTCACAAAGAATCGTCAGATTATATAGTTCAGAGATATATATGGCTAAGTCTCAAGTTCAGTGTGCTCCTCTTATTGCTCTCTTATTTTGCTTCCTTATCGCATCAACTGGTGAGTAGCCAACATATTATAAATCCCACGTCACATTATTCATCTGATATTGTTTTGTATTGAAGTTAATGTAGATACTTCTTTCTCATTTCTCCATCAATATTGTCATAATAAATCCAAATATAATAAAATACAAATGGAATTACAGTAACTTAAATATATGTTTGACTCCAAAAGATGAACTATCTAGTTCTAAATTCTGGACGTGTATGAACAAAGTCCGACATGGAAAGTAGAAAAGAAAAAAAATATATTTATAAGGTATTGGATACTCTTAATGGTGTGAAGACTTTTTTAGAAATTGCGCGAGCATGGCCTAAAGTGGACAATATCATATTATATATCATATTAAGAGTATCTTTACGCTGTTTTAGCCATGGCAACGCTAAATATCTTAGACAATTACTGTATTATCTTTACCATTGAGCTTTTACCCTCTTTTATGCACAGAGATGCAAATGGCAGAAGCAATAGGTTGTAAAAGGTACAGCAGAACATGGCACGGTGAATGCTTAAATAGTGATGGTTGTAACAACCAATGCATCAATTGGGAGGGAGCTATTCATGGAGCTTGTCATGCAGATGGATTTCTTACTGCCGCCTGCTTTTGCTACTTTTGCTGATCAATGATCATCAAAATTTCATCATCTTGATTGTTGCTATCTATGTTTTCAATGAATAAAAGCTACTCCTTCACTTTGGAATAATGTCCGTTTGTAATAATGTCAAAGAGTTATATGAAATTATATGACAAAAACTATTATAGCCATAGTATGTTTTACTCTGGCATGACAATTTCCTATTCTTCTTCTTCTTCTTCTTTTTTTTTTTTTTTTTGATGAAAACAATATTTATCACCAAGAACAAAACAATGCAAGACAAAACAGGTAGAAAATCAAAAATAGCCAGATTTACAAGTGGTAATTGAAAAATAGCTACAGTTTTGAAAGTAATCGAATTCCAGCCACTTTTCATGTAAAGATAAATCTGAATGAAAACACTGTTCAAAATCCGGAAAATATTCCAGCATAATATACTGGAGTTCCACTATAATATACTGGTCCAACATAATGTGCTGGAAGTTCATTCAAAGGTGCTCCAATCTCCAGTATATTATTCTGGAACTTTCCGTGTGTTGGAGTTCCAGCATAATATGCTGGAAGTTCATATACAGGTGCACCAATCTCCAATATATTATGTTGGAACTTATCGTGTTGCAGCAAAATAGTGGCTATTTTTGAATGACTTTGTAAATGCTGGCTTTTTTTCAATTACCAGTCCAAAAATTGGCTAGCCCGTGCTATTTTCACGACAAAACAAGAAGACTAGCAAGCTAGGCATACTTACCGGGTAGGCCTACCGAAACATTGCAAGCCCCAAAACAAAAAGGGAAATTACCAGCTATGTCCATTTATAGGTAGCTCATTACAAAAATTGGCCAATTGATAAAATATTACTAATGTTAACCAAATTAGCCAATTAGCTATTTGTAGCAAAAAAATATCAAATTTTTGCTTTGTTTTGAGTGGGTGTTATTAGAATATATTGGGCACAACTTAAGGAGCTTGAATCTCAGTTTTGGGATGATTTGGTGAAGTTTTGAGGTGATTTGTATTGAAAATTCGAAGTAAAAGCTGAACATGAAAAAAATGATGTGTGTATCACACTGTGTATCACATATGTATCATATTTGTATCAATTGTGTATCACATGTATATCCATGTATACCTGTGTGTGAGATACATGCGTGATACATGTGTCGCAGAAGACTTTTTTGAACTCGATTTAATTATGAATTTTGATACAATACCACTCCAAATCACCTCCAATCTTCCTCAAATTTTGTATATTGACTTATCTATATATTTTCAATGAATTTCAACTATACCTATTGAAAAAGTTCCTTTTTTGTTTAGATTTTTAGAATATTTGTATAGATTTTTGTATTTCATCACCTTATTTGCTACCCCGTCCATGAAATTTCTTTTCCGTCTTGTATCTAATGTTGCTAATCACACTTAAAAATATGGAAGGTGATTTTTGCATGTGATTCTTTGATAGAAAGAACCCTATTATTTGGTTTTTCAATTTTTGTTGGCTAGTTTTGGTAAGTCTATGACCAATGGCTAGAGGTTGGTAAGTTGATATTTATTTGGGACATTTGTGTAAGTTTCCCAAACAAAAACCTGTACTATACAAACTAATCTCCTATCTATATAAGTTTTCCTATCCCTTCTCTTTCTCTTCTACTTTGTCTTCTAATCATAACTGCATACATACGAACCTTGCACTCCTATTAAATTTGATCACATACAGTATGTGGACATGAAACTCTATGTCAAATCTCCAAACAAATGCTGGATTCTATTAACCTATAATTTCACGAATTCAAATATGTGATTAGTTTCTAAATTAGAGTGCAAATCGATGTTCAAAACTACAAAATACAAAATTTACGGCAAAAACTTCAGTTTCTCTTGTTCAAATCCATGTTTTGATGTTGATCTAGTGATAGATTTATGTATAAACCATAGAAATCCAAATTAGGATTACTTACTCCAAAAAAGTAGATAAAAATTCTTTGAAAAATCATCTCAATACGAGCTCTCTAACTCTCAAAATAATAAAATAAAGTCCAAGTACAAAATGAGGTTATATACACAAGTGCAGATTTTTAGAAATTTTAGCATTACTGCCATTTACTAAAATAGTTATAACTTTTTTTACCAATGTCAGAATGACAAACGATTTGAGTTTCCGAAATCTGATTCAAATGACTACAATTTTTGTTTTTGGATCATCGCCAAATGCTTTATAAATCAGGAGAAATACGTGTGAGAAGTCAAGACATGTAAAAACGGCCTCGTTTCAGTTATTTAAATCTGTTCCATACTTGCTCCAAATGCACCGAAACCCATCCAAGCCTCTCGAGTCACCTCCAAAATAATCCAACAAGTTCAAATACGCATATAGACTTGTTCAAAGGCTCAAAACACGAATGGTATTATACCGATTTCACACTTTGTCCCAGGTCATTGGGGAACTCCCGTACTCTCCTTCAGTCTTCTTGTGGCTTTCAAATTCGTCTCGTTCAAGTTTTTCGCAAAGACTATCGTGGCCCAATTGTTCAGGACAGAAGGTAACATCATGCTCTTTCTTTGGAACCAGTCCACGAACTCTCTAAGCAACTTTGTTTTTTTTTCTTTTTTTTTTTTGAAAATATCCTCCATTCATTTTTCAACCGTTTGGGCTCTGTTATGCGCCTTACGAAGGCTTCTGCAAGCTCAGCAAATGAGTTATTTGAATTTTCAGGAAGAAGGGAATACCAAGTTAGTGCTCTTTTCGTGAGTGTTGAGAGTACTTGAACGGAGTTGGTAATGGAGTAACACTTTGGTTTCCACGGTTGTTGAGAGTACTTGTCCATGTCGATCTCTTTGATGACAGACGGGACTCCCGGAATTAATTTAATTTATTTGTTCTACTCTTTGATCTGTTTCTGCAAAGTTAGAACGAAAAGGTCATATTCAGCCCTTTATTGTCAGAAATTATTTATGTGTGCCCTCTGTTTGAGCGTTGGTATGACTTTTGTCCCTTGTAATATCAATAAAGGTCTAATCTTAGTGGTGAGTTTAATTGATAGTAAAGTTATTCTGGTTGAACAAAATGAAAAGATGTTTGCTTTGCTAAATCTTGTTGTATCTTTTTGCTTGAATGTTGATTTCGTAATGTAAATTTCTACGTGTATTCTGTAGCTTGCTGTGTTGTTTATGAGCTATATGCCAAAAAGTAAATTGTGTGTAATGGAACGTCTTATTGACTGAACAAAGGAGTTGAATAAAAAAGAGGGGAAAGATCCGAATAAGCGTCTGGGTTTGGCTAAAAGAATCGGGTATATAAAAATATGTATATGGCTTCCACGTGTCCTTTTAATTCATTGGTCCGGAAAATTTAACACAATTTTGTTCAAAAGTATTAATGTGGGATTACATATATGCAGTTAGGACTGAGATCATGCCCACCATGTCTGTTGATGAGCAGAAGAGAATAAATCAGTTCCAAAAGTTGGACCCTCCACAGTTTGATAGGGAACCCGCAGTTAATGCCCACGATTTTCTTGGATAGGTGTCGTGAGATTTTGCGCAACTTTAATCTTGTTGAGTCTGATGGAGTTGATTTCACTACTTTCCAGATGAGAAGACCAGTCAAGAGTATGAATGTTGGATTATATATAGTCGAATAATCAAACATAGGGCACATATAAAGAATTTTTAAAAGTTATGGGTAAACATAACCCTTCTCCGTAGATTATAACCAAAGGTAACCTTTTAAGAAGAAAAACGGAAAAAAGGGGGGGGGGGGGGGGGGGGGGTATAGTCACCACAGTTTTTCTGATGATTAAACTATCTTCAATAAGACACATCATTCAATAAACTCATCCTCCTCTGAGCTGTCACTGTCCTTTCCCTGCATTAGCATTCAAGCAGTAAATCCACAGAAAATTATCTTCAAAAAGACTTATGGAGCTAGTTATACAGTGTTATGATATTAATCACTCTCATTCAGTTCTTGACAATAGTCTCAAGAACCATTGGGAGAGGATGGAAATGACAATGCGAAAAAACTGTCAAAGAAGGGTAACAAGACTGAATGGTCTTATTACAAATCCTTCATTCCAAAAAAAAAAAAAAAAAAAAACTGTAGCTTCCAACAGAGACATATATGATATATCTTGGGGCACAAGAACAAAATAAGGATGCGGGTCTGATGAAATAAAGATTCAGTGGTAGAAGGTAATCTGGTCTTTCTAAAGCTAACAATTACACCTGCCCCCGCCAAAACCTTATACCTTTCTCTATTTATGATATTCTAAGGCTGCATTCTAACCCTCTGGACTTGAAAGCAGCCGCATCCCCCCACCCACCGCCACACACACAAAAAGGCAAAGGTACATTTATTAGTGGAAGACCAGTAAAGTCATCTTGGCAGCCTCATTATTGCAAAAGGCAAGATGTCTTTTGAAACGTCAACCAAAAAAACTCGCACGAACTCCTACCCTTTCAACCTTTGGTGTTTTATGTTTTTCAGGCCCCCCTTTGTTACTTTTGACTTGATATAAGACTAGTAAAATTTTGTTGGAAAGCATGGTAAATGAATCTTCTGAGGCTCAGAACCCAAGCTGAAAATTGCTCGCAATAATCTAGAAAATGTAGCATGAGCATCAAAAGGAAAGAGAGAACCCACCACAACAAAGATGTAGGAGGTCGCAGATCTTAAGATTTTAGCGCCTCCATGGATTATGTTTCTATTGAAGACAAATAAAATGAGGAAAATACTTCAAAATCTCAAAAACCTCTATCTAGAGAGCACGCTATTGCTATTGAATTGACATAGTTAGCGGGGAGAAAGAAAAGGTTAAAGGAAGTTATACTTGGCAAATACTTTTCCCCCAAAAAGCGCTTAAGCTAGGAGTTATAGAACACTTTAGTAAGCGCTCAATCTAATGCCAATATTTCAGCAAGCTTATTCAACAGTTTACTATGCAACAAAAAATCCCCAACCAAAACCAAACATTTGAATTCTAGTGATGAGGTAGTTATGACCTCAAGCTCCACTCAACTCCGCAGTTTTCTTCTGACCTCCATTACCCTTTAATACTTACTACGATTTTGACCTTGGGAAGTACCTTCTTATGAAGCTGATCAACAGCTTAGGAAGAATATTCGCTATTATTTACAACGAAGACAAGACAACTTCTTTGAAGATATAATCAAAGAGGTAATATGGAAACGAGATATTCTTAAATAATGTACGCTCAAAAAGAAACTTAGGAAACATGTACTTATCCATGATGCAGATGCGACACTTATGAAACAGTGATGTATCTTTACCTCATCACTATCAAAATCTTCTTCATCAGGGTCCTGTGGCATAATAATGTTTAAATAATGTTATTGAAGGCAATAAAGACATATCATGACAAAATTTTGATTAAGAAAATAAGAAGTAAGCTTAAATGGAACTAACATATTCAAAATAATTGAGCGGGTTCGGCCACAAGTCATCCTTAATTATGTCAGCAACCTGCAAAAGCAACAAAGTGTCAAAATGAAAATTTTCAGCAAAGATTTTACCTCAGTGGCTCAGTGCACCATCAACCCTACCCCCCACCACCCAAAATAAAATGGAAAATTGGAAAGAAAAAACATCATGAAGTAATACGCAGAAGATATAAAAACATATACCTCATCCTGAATCTCTAGAGCCTCATCCTCATCATCTTTTTGAGTGACTTCGCTGAACCATGTAAAAAAGCTGCATAGAAAACCCCAAGAGGGAAAACAGCTGAGCAAAGATGACCAGAACTATCATATCCCAATGTTTATCAGGAAGGTCTAGAGTGGAGACTACAGAAAATAAGGCCAGTGCAGACACAGTACTGCTACAGTAACTTTGTAGCTGCATTAAGCAATAATTACTGGCATGATTTCTAATGAATCTCAGCCTCTGTTCTCATTATGATGACCAAGCTCAGTCTTACGGTCTCACCATTAACCAAAAACCAGCAATAGTGAAGCAAAACATTCGTTGTCTACAGCAATTGGGGTACGCTATTCGAAAGTCACTACAATGGACCTAATTATACGCTGCATAAGTAATGTGCATTGACAAACACTGAGGGCTCGTTAGGTTGATGGTTTAGAATAACCAATCCTAGCATAAGATCTCGCATATTATATATAATATAGTGTTTGGTTGGCTGCATAAGAAAAAAATAATCGCCGCATAACCAATTTAGTGTTTGGTTAGCGGTATTAAATAATACCTGCATCAAGCTATGTTGGGATCTATGTATTATTACATGCGGGTTAGAATGTAGAACAATTAGTGATACATACAGGGATTAAACTATTTAGAGACAAAATTTCCCTTTTAAAGTGAGTAATTTATGTATAACAATCTCCTCATCATTAATCATTGCGTAACAGTCATTGCATTATTGATTCCCGATAAACAATCCATGCAATATATCCCCTTATAACTAGTATGTGAGCCAAAGGACCCCTGAAGTTATCATCAAGAAAGTTTGACATGAGCAAGCCTGCTATCAGACATTAGGCAAACCAAGGTTTCCGACAACATATCAGAGAATTAAATTGAGTCTTAGATTAAATCAATAAATAGCCAAATATGATTAGATTTAGATCATATAGATATGCTAGAAATTAGTAAACTCACCTTTCCTTATCACGATATCGCTTTTTTCCTTTCTTCTTTTGTGCAACTACATTAGGAATGCCCTTCAAAGAGTCAACCAATATAATTAATATGACGAAGTAAGGAATGTACAGAATGTATCACATCTCAAGCTGCGAAATGGAAACTCACCATGCCTTTTTCCCATTTTATTGTCGTACCAGAAATCTTTGTGGGTCCATCTTCAAGGAAGGTATAGGTCTTTGAGAGCTTATTATTTCCAAAATAAGGATTCGCATTGAAGTTCTGTTAAAAAGAGAAGATCATCATTCTGAATTTCCAAAAGAATGCAACATATAACGATGTAATTAATTTCATGTGCGGGAACGAACATACAAAGGTTATCGAGTAGCCTGACTTCACATCTTTAGAGTCTTCAACTTCAATAGAACTTAGAAACTTGAAGATCTACAAGCGATAAGGCAGTTACATTTTGAGATGCCGAACTCAAGAAGCATTTAAAGGATAACTCAAAATTTTATTGTACAAGAGAGCCTCATGCTAATTCAGCATTGAATTATTAGAAGTAATAATTCAACATCGATAAAACTTGGCCAAATAAATAGCACTAGAGTCGGTGATATTCTAGTTCCACAGTTTTATAAGCAACAAATTAGAACCAACCTTTAGGTCTTCTTCATTTAGAAGTGTACCTAGGACAGGATGAGCCAAAAACTGTAAGTAATGAAACAAGTCAATTAGATGACAAGCACTTCATAATTTCACCAACATAGAAAGAAGGAATTATCAGGATAGGACACCAACAGCAGATAACCAAAAGTCCGGGATAGCTTTAATGATGTCGTTTCGTTTATCATAGACAGGCTTGCGGATCTCACTATACTCCTGTTCCACTTTCAATACTTTATCACTTGCTTCCTCATTGATCTGCTAGCAAAAATTAGAATGCTCATTGGTTAAGATGTAAGACCAAAGCAACAAAAGAAATCTAGCAATCAACTCTAAGTTACATTTTTAGAACTAACAAAACCTTATTTTTGTTCCACCTAAATTAGTTTATAACCTCATAGCCTGCTTTTGCTGTGAGCACAGTAGCAAAAGCTCGTATACCTATACCCCTATAGAATATAATTAAGGTTTCCCCTTTATGATTGAAATGCAACATGTACCCTTCACGGCTTCAACTAATCATTACTCACTAGGCAAGTCTGCCAAGGCATAAGAGAACTACTGATAAAGAGGGATGGCACTAATGAGAATATCTGCATCTATTCCAACAGAAAGAGAAGGATAACAAAACGCAAAACAGCTCGTATTCTTGTACTTGTAATAACGTTCCAACAAACCGTGGAATCCACTTATATGCTATAGATACTACCACATGCATGCAAAGAAAGGGAAGAGTAGGAGCCAATGTTCCCAGCTATTACACAGATATTTTCTTGGTCATCTTGCGTATGGTAGATCTAAGATCGCCACCAATATAGAAGCTGTCCAAGTTCTTTATGTTCTTTTCATTATTTATGTTTGGACTGGTGGTGGTTTTAGAAATAACTCCAACAGTGTTTTGCAAATTGAGCTTTGACGGATGAAAGATGGATTACTAGACTTTTCCTCCAATAATTTATCCTAAGTCCTAACTCTTGTAATGTCAAACGACAAAATGATGGATTAGAATAATGCAACTTAATTACAAGAAACAGCCTCGCTACTTTCTCAAGATAGGGATAAGGTGTGCGTACACACTATCCCCCTCCCCGTAGGATTACACCAGGATTGTTGTTGTTGTTGTAGAATAACGCAACTTAACTCGAAAGGAAAAGAAAACAGAAATATAAACTGGAATCCACAGATGCAAACAGGTTGTTATTCTCATCAAACTTAGCAGCCAATTTTTTTCTTTTTCTTTTTTCGATAACTAAGCCTGGTATTTGGACCAACTTGCGAGCATATCCGCTATTCAATCGGATGCTTGTTGCCTTCCACCAAGCAGAGTTACTGGGGAACTCTGCCCACCAAAACTTAGGTTAGTGGGAAGAAAGCCCCTAATTTTTTGTCTCTCTAGCATCCAAGGTTTGCATCTACTTCATTGACCAGTAGGTCACAACCTTGGGTGCAACTTAGAACTCAAATACTAGCCTTCCTTTCACCATAAAATCAAAGTCAAGGATCACCCTATCATGTAAACATGCGACGGCTCACACTGCATCCAAAAAATAAATAAAACGACAACATACGCAAAATCACAAAAACTAATGAAGACAAGCCTTTTTTTGTGATAATTAAATGAGGACTATCTTTACATGTTGCAACTCAAACATAATTATGCGAACCTAGACTCGGAGTTCTTCCCTTAGGTAGCTTATGTAGTTCTCGCGCATGTGTTGTTTGCAAGGAAAGAAATATATAT